ACTAGGTCCGAGATCTGAACTGTGGTCGACTGTGTGGGAGTCCAGGATGCCATCTGCTGGCCCTGAGTCCTCTCATCTTTTCAAATTCATCATAGTTCCAGCATTTCTCCAGTTACTCAGGATAAAAACGAAAGTAGCATCCTCCCAAATGTTTGCGTACTTTTTTCATATTATCCTGTCATTACAGCACTTTTGACAAACTCACATCTTGCTTATTTATTGGATAACTTGCCTATATTGCCTATACTCTTTTTTTTTAAGAATTATTTATTTATTTATTTCCATTTGTTATTGTTATTTTTTTTCTTTATTTGACGAGAGAGAGAGAGAGAGAGAGAGAGGGAGGGAGGGAGGGAGGGGGAAAGTGAGAAAGCAAGCCACCAGGTCCAGGACTTGAACCAAGGTTGGCCATGTGAAAATCCAGTGCCCTTATCCACCACACCACCTGCTGGCCCCAATACTGTCTACACTCTTGACTAAAAAAAATATAAGGTTCATAAAAATTAGGACTTGTATCTGTCTTAACCAAGACTTTGTCTTCAACTCTAGTACAGTACCTTGGTAATATTAGCATCGTATTTATTAAGTGCTATTACTTACATTAGTTTCCTCATTTCTTTTCCTTTATTTATGACAGAGCACATGAATGTGCGAGAGAGAGCGAGAGAGAAAAAGAGACAAGCACCTTCCACAGGGTTTAGTCACACCATGATTCCCTTACTCCAGTCTCTAGCCTGTTGGATCTTGGGCACTTGGATGCATGCCTAGCGTGATTCAGGCTGACCAGGCCAAGGATTTGAACCATGGTCACCATGTGGGATCCAGCTTCCCTCGAGTGGCACATTATTGTTGTGCCACAAAGCTAGTCCTATCTTAGCTTTTATTAACAACTACTTTTTTTTTTTTTTTTAAGTTTCTGCCACAGCTCATGTGCACTTTAGAAGAGACAGAGAGACACAGAAAAGCAAAGTGAGAAACCACCCCCCAGCGGGAATAGCCATGCCACTGTCCCTTATCCTCCCCTCTCCTGTTGGGATTTTGAGTATGCATGCACACGTGACTGGTGTAATTTTCAAGTTGCCAGGTCTGAGAATCAAACCACAGTTGGCCATGGGGGAATCCAGCACCTTAATTACCATGTCACTTGCTGGCCCCTTAAAAACTACTTTTTAAAGTTTCCCAACTCTATTGAGGTGTAATTGACAAACAATTTATATATTGAAGGTGTACAATGGTGTCACTTATATGTATATTATGTAATGATTACTACTATCAACTTAGTTAACACATCCTTTACCACACAGTTACTACTTCTGTGTGTGTGTGTGTGTGTGTGTGTGTGTGTGTAAGAGAGAGAGAGTGAGAGAGACCATTATTCTAAAGAGATTACTTATCCTATATTACACTGTAGGAAGGACACAACTGACTTTATTTTTTAAGAATTACTTATTTAATTTTATTTATTCATTTATTTATTTTTAATTTGACCAGAGAGAGAGAGAGAGAAAGAGGGAAAGTGAGAAAGCAAGCCACCAGGTCCAGGACTCGAACCGTGGTCAGCCATGTGGGGATGTCCAGCACCTTAACCAGCATCCCAACTGCTGGTGCCCAACTGATTTGAATACTTTATCATATTCACAACAATCCTACTGAGGGCGTATTTTTGTTATTATACAGTTTTATAAGTGAAAACCTAAGGACTAGAATGACGAGTTGTTGGGACCAGCAGATAGTGAAATTGCTATGTCACTGGATTCACACATAGTCCACCAAGGTTTAGGTCCCAGACCTAGGGCTTAAAACTCATGTCAGACGTGTGAGCGTGCATTCCCAAAATCCTGAGAGGAGAATGGAGAAGGGACTGCAGCATGGCCATGTCCCCTGGAGGGCTGATTTCTCACTTTCTGTCTCTCTTTCCAGCGAGCACCCGCACTCTATAGCAAAAATCTCTTCCTCTAAAAAAAGAATGATGAATTTTCAAATGGTAGTAAGACTAGTGAAGGGGCTGGAAGGTGGCGTGGTGGTTAAGGGTGCTGGACTCCCACATGGCTGACCATGGTTTGAGTCATAGACCTGGAGGCTTGCTTTCTCACTTTCCCTCTCCCTCACTCTGTCCCTCTCTGGTCAAATTAAGAAAGGAAGAAAGGAAAGGAAAGGAAAGAAAATTATTTTAAAAAAAAGAATTATTTTATTTAACTTTATTTATTTATTTCTCTTTTTTGTATTTTAGTTTGACCAGAAAGGTATAAAATGAGAGAGAGAGGGATAGGGAAAGTGAGAAAACAAGGTGCCAGGTCTAGGATTCAAACCGTGGTCAGCCACATGGGAGTCCAGCACCCTTAACCACCATGCCACCTGCCAGCCCCAATAAAATAATTCTTTAAAAAAAAAAGAGAGAGAAAGACTAATAAAGAGAATGAGAACTAGAACCCAAGTGCTCTAACCTCACTATACATTATTTGCCTTGTAAAATAAATCAATTTAAAAAACATACCCACCTGCATACTTGTTTCAAAGAAATGAAGTTGATTCAGAAATAGTGAATGCCTTATAAACAGTATTTGGCATATTCATACATAGCCTATAAACCATAGGCTTCCAATATATCCCCCAGTGATATGGAGAAGAATAAAGAAAACAAAAGAATATATTTAAAAATATCAGAAAGTCATGTAAGATACATTCTGTTCATCACTATTACTCAGAAGGTATCATTTACTCCAGATTAATGATAACATACTCAAACTACTGACTAGAATCTGCTCACACAGCAGTAAGATTTTCAAGGTGACCTGGTACCCTATTAGTCAGTTAACTCTTTTTAAAAATTATTTAATTTAATTTAATTTATTTACTTACTTACTTACTTAAATTTTATTTATTTACTTACCTACTTTAATTTGACCAGAGAGGGACAGAGAGAGAGAGAGAGAGAGAGAGAGAGAGAACAAGCTGCCAGGTCCAGGATTCGAATTGCATTCGGTCATATGGGAGTCCAGCGCCCTTAATCCATACTACCTGGCGGCCCTAGTCAAGTAACTCTTAAAGTCTAAAGACCACGTCTTTTTTTTTTTTTAAGAAGAGTATTTTTTTATAATTATTTAGTTTAATTTTATTTACTTATTTTAATTTGACCAGAGAGGTACAGAATGAGAGAGAGTGAGAGAGATGGAAAGTGAAAAAGCAAGCCACCAGGTCCAGTACTTGAACCATGGTCGGCCATGTGGGAGTCCAGCACCCTTAGTTACCACACCACCTGCTGGCCCCAAGACCACGTCTTCTTGATCTCTGCAGCCCTAGTGTTTAGTACAATGGGTGCACCATATTATAGACACAATATTGTTTATTCAAGAATGAATGAAAAAATAAATAAATAAATAATAAAATAAAAAAAAGAATGAATGAAGAATGAAGAATGCAAAAGTACCATCAGAGAGCACTTTACCTTGGCTCCTTCTTGATCTTCCAGGGAAAACTCCATCAATTCACTTGAAATCTCTTCTGCTTGGTCTTCTCCTAGTTCTGGATTTTTATCCAATTTTGGAACTGCAGTAATGGGACTGCCCAGATATTTCATTTCACTTTCCACCAAGTTTCCATTGTCCTGTCAGATATGTTGACACCATTAGAAACTATTCAGGACCCTTGCTTTACACCCTATACAAACATTTACTGAAATCATACCAAAGACCTAAATGTAAAAGCTGAACTTGTAAAACTATTAGGGGGGGAAAAATAGGGGAAAATCTTCATAACACTGGATTTGACAATGATTTCTTGAATATAATACCAAAACACAGGAAACTACAAAAAATTAAATAGGTTTTCAACAAAATGAAAACTTTAGGGGCCAGCCTGTGGCATGTTGGTTAGGTAGCTAGCTGGATTCTACATGGGTGACTACACATCTCTTGAATTTTCAACATTTGTCTGTCTGTCAAATGTTTTCTCCTCCATGGGGCTGGCAAGTGGCTTGGTGATTAAAGGCACTGGACTCCCATGTTGCCAACCATGGTTAGAGTCCTGGACCTGTGGCTTGCTTTTTCACTTTCCCTCTCTCTCTTTCACTGTCTCCCTCTGATTAAACTGGATAATAATAATAATAATTAATAAAGTTAAATAAAATAATTCTTAAAAAATGTTTTCTCATCTTGTACTTCACACCCACCTTCCACCACCCACTCTCTACCAACCACCTTCCTCCCTTATAGTCTCTACATCTACTACTTTCCTCTCCGCCATCATGTCTTCAGATCTCTCACTCTCTGCCATAGAGCCATAGATACCCAGAACAAATTGAATGAGAATATACAATTTGTATCTTTCAAAGTCTGGCTCACTTGGTTCAACACTAAATCTTCTATATTCATCCATTTTGAGTCAAACAATAGTATCCCTTTGTTTCTTTTAACTGTGTAATATTCCCTAGCATATATGTGCCAAAATTTTTCAATCCAGTAGTGTTTGTGTACACTTTGGTTGGTCCAGTGATTTTAGCAATTGTGAATAATGCTGCAATAAACATGGATGTGCAAGGGTCTTTCAGTGTTTGGGTGTTTTCCTATCTTTTAGGTAAATATCAAGGAGTGAGATTACTGGGTCATGGAAGTTCTATTTATAGGGGTTTTTTTTTGAGTATTTTTTATAATTATTTAGTTTAATTTTATTTACTTATTTTAATTTGACCAGAGAGGTACAGAATGAGAGAGAGTGAGAGAGATGGAAAGTGAAAAAGCAAGCCACCAGGTCCAGTACTTGAACCATGGTCGGCCATGTGGGAGTCCAGCACCCTTAGTTACCACACCACCTGCTGGCCCCAAGACCACGTCTTCTTGATCTCTGCAGCCCTAGTGTTTAGTACAATGGGTGCACCATATTAGACACACAATATTGTTTATTCAAGAATGAATGAAAAAATAAATAAATAAATAAATAATAAAATAAAAAAAAGAATGAATGAAGAATGAAGAATGCAAAAGTACCATCAGAGAGCACTTTACCTTGGCTCCTTCTTGATCTTCCAGGGAAAACTCCATCAATTCACTTGAAATCTCTTCTGCTTGGTCTTCTCCTAGTTCTGGATTTTTATCCAATTTTGGAACTGCAGTAATGGGACTGCCCAGATATTTCATTTCACTTTCCACCAAGTTTCCATTGTCCTGTCAGATATGTTGACACCATTAGAAACTATTCAGGACCCTTGCTTTACACCCTATACAAACATTTACTGAAATCATACCAAAGACCTAAATGTAAAAGCTGAACTTGTAAAACTATTAGGGGGGGAAAAATAGGGGAAAATCTTCATAACACTGGATTTGACAATGATTTCTTGAATATAATACCAAAACACAGGAAACTACAAAAAATTAAATAGGTTTTCAACAAAATGAAAACTTTAGGGGCCAGCCTGTGGCATGTTGGTTAGGTAGCTAGCTGGATTCTACATGGGTGACTACACATCTCTTGAACCTGTTGGCTCAAAAAATATACCAGATGTGTGTGAGTGCATGCCCAAAATCCCAAGAGGAGAAATGGAAGAGAAAAGATTGTGGTGTGGTCATCCCAAGGAGGGTGACTTATCACTTTCTCTCTCACTGTTTTGTTCTCTCTATAGCAAGTGCATGTGCTCTACGGCAAATATATTAAAAAATAAAATATGGGGACCAGCAGTTAGCGTAATAGCTATGTCGCTGGACTTCCATGTAGTCGACTGCAGTTTGCATCCTGGACCCGGTAGCTTAAAACTCATGCCGGGCGTGTGTGCGTGCATGCCCAAGATCCCGAGAGGAGAATGGAAGAGAAGGGATTGTGGCATGGCCATCCCCCCGGGGGGTGATTTCTCGCTTTCTGTCTCTCTGTCTGGCGAGTGCACGTGCCCTATTGCAAAAAACCTCTCAAAAAAAATAAATAAAATATGAAGAGGCAAGAATTCAAAAATGGGAAAAAAATATTTGCAAATCATATATCTGAAAAGGAGTTAATATCAGAATATATAAAGAACTCTTAGACCAGCTGATGGCATGGTGAAGGAGGCTGGATCCCACATGGCCAACTGTGCAGTTCAAGTCCTGAAACCAGTGTTTAGAAAACACACTGGGCGAGAGACCAGCAGTTGGCGTAATGGCTATGTTGCCAGACTTCCACATAGTGGACTGTGACTCAAGTCCCGGACCCAGTGGCTTAAACTCACGCCGGCGCTTGTGCATGTGTGCCCAAGATCCCAAAAGGAGAATGGAGAAAGGATTGCGGCATGGCCATCCCCCTAGAGGGTGATTTCTCACTTTCTGTCTCTCTCTGTCTTTCTAGCAAGCATATACAAAAAAACACTCCTCCTCAAAAAAAAAAAAAAAAAAAAAAAAAACAACCACCAATGTTCAACAGAAGTAATCATTAGGAAAATGCAAATAAAAATCACGAGGTAAGACTTCACACCCATTAAGATGGCTATTATATAAAGAAAAATAACATTAAGTGCTATGCATTGCTGGTAGAAAATGTACAAGGGTGGGACCAGGTAGAAAATGTACAAGGGTGGGACCAGCAGTTGCATAATGGCTATGTCGCTGAACTCCCATGTGACCGACTGCAGTTCGAGGCCCAGACCTGGTGGCTTAAACTCACACTGCACATGTGTGCGTGCATGCCCAAGATCCTGAGAGGAGGGACCAGCAGTTAGCATAATGGCTATATCGCTGATCTCCCATGTAGTCGACCACGGTTTGAGTCCCAGACTCGGTGGTCTCTCTCTCCTGGCGAGTGTACACGCCCTATAGCAAAAACCTCTCAAAAAAAAAAAAAAAAAAAAAAAAAAAAAAAAAAAAAAAAAAAGAAAATGTACAAGGGTGCAACTGTTATAGATAATAGCATGATGGTACCTCAAAAAAATTAAACCTATAATAACCATATAATAGCAATCCCACTTTGGGGAAACTGAAAAGTAAGGACTAAAAGTAAGAATTCAAACAGGTATTTGTATAAATATATTCACAGCAGTGTTTGTCACAATAGCAGAAATTAAAGTGGAAACAGCCCAAAATACCCTGATAAATGAAAGGATCAACAAAATGTAGTCTATATATACACTGGAGTATTATTCAGTCAGAAAAAGGGATGAAATTCTGATACATGCTACAATAAGAATGAACTTTGAAGAAATGATGCTAAATAAGCATAATTATGCTGAATGAAATACTGGGCCAGCCCCATAGTACAGTGGTTAAGCACTATACACAGTAAGCAGGATACCATGGGGCTGACCAGCCTTCATGGTTCATGTCCTGGTCTTGGCGGCTGACACACTTGGGGGTACACATGCTAAGGATTCTAAGCCAAAAGAAGAACTAGAGGAAAAAGGATTGTGGTATGACCAGGTCCTATTGGGGGCTTGCTTTCATTCTGGGCATGCACATGCTGTTTACCCACGCATTTTTTTAATTTAATTTTATTCATCATCATCATCATCATTTTGTTTTTTAATTTGACCAGAGAGAGATGGGGGGTGGGAGGGCAGGGAGTAAGAAAGCAAGTCACTTGGTCTGGGATTCAAATTGCAGTCTGCCATGTGGGAGTCTAGCACCTTAACCACTATTCCGCCTGCCCCCCCCAGCACATTTCTAAACTTAAGGAGCTGGGTCCCAAATCCTGGTTAGCCATGTAGCATTTGGGGTCCTCTGTGCAATGCCTAACCACTGTACAACTTGGCCAGCCCTGAGAGAGATTGATTTTTGACAAGCCTCATCAAGGTGGAATCCTCCCACTCCAATCTCCCGGCTAACTAGGACTACAGGTGTACACCTACCAGGAACCAAACCCAGGCTTCACATGTCACCCCAGTCTCTGAGTACCACCATCTCTCCAACATGCACCACTACAGCTGAGCTCCACTTCTTTTTTTATACTTCCCGTTTTTTTTTTTTTTTTTTCCTCTGATTCACAGCACATGCACTTGCCAGAGAGAGACAGAGAAAAACAGAGAGAGATGGAGACAGAAACAGAGAGAACCCCCCCTGGGTGGGGGTGGCCACAACACAATCAATTCTCTATTCTCCTCTCAAGATTTTGGTTATGCATACATATACACATACCTGGTAGGTTTTTCTTTTTCTTTTTTGGGGGAAGAGGTTTTTTTGGGATTTTTTTTGGAGAGGTTTTTGCTATAGGGCATGTGCGCTCGCCAGACAGACAGAGAGAGACAGAAAGCGAGAAATCACTACCCAGGGGAGATGGCCACGCTGCAATCCCTTCTCCTCCATTCTCCTCTCAGGATCTTGGGCACGCACACACATGAACCCGGCGTGAGTTTAAGCCACCGGGTCCAGGACTCGAACGGTGGTCGACTATGTGGGAGTCCAGTGACATAGCCATTATGCTAACTGCTGGTCCTGGAAGAGGTTTTTGCTATAAAGCGCGTGCGCTCGCCAGACAGACAGAGAGAGACAGAGAGACAGAAAGCAAGAAATCACCCCCCGGGGGGATGGCCATGCCACAATCCCTTCTCCTCCATTGTCCTCTCGGGATCTTGGGCACGCACGCACATGCACCCGGCGTGAGTTTAAGCCACCGAGTCTGGGACTCGAACCACGTTTGACTACATGGGAGTCCAGCGACATAGCCATTACGCTAACTGCTGGTTCCAACCTGGTATGTTTTTCAAACCACCAGGTCCAAGACTTGAACCACACCATTGGCCATGTAGGATCTGGTTGCCTTAACCACCACACCTGGCCCTTCTGTATTTTTGAACCAATAGACACACAGTACTTTTAAAATCAGGGGATAAGGCATAAAAAAGAAGAAAAAGTAATCTGTGTATCTGAAGAATAAAAGAAAGGGAAAAAAAAAATCCTTAAGAAAATTTTCTCCTAAAATTTAAACAAATAGAAAAATCAGATATGGCTCCTCCCTTCCCCTACTTAAATGATTAGTTCTCTACCCCTTTTCTCACCTATGTAAGCTTATAAAAATTCAAAGGGCCATAAATCCTGAGCTACCATCCATAGCTTTTAACACATCAACTGTCCCTTAATGATGATGTTCTGTCACTCACCAGAAGAGAAAGAGGAGAAACATAAGGTCCCCCTGGTCGCTTTTGAAAGCTCAGGTTCCTAGGAGCCTCCCATTCCAAGGGATTCAAAGTTTTCTTTTCCTGCATAAGAAAAACAGCATCGGCTAGGAGAAGAGACACATTAGCTGGCCCTGCCAAAAACATTTCATCTAAGGAAGCCACCTATGAACAGTGCTCGCAAAACATATTAAATGTAATCAAGGTTGGCCCTATGTCTTCAAGATACAAATTATGGTTTGGATTTGACATAGGTCTATAGATTTGCTTTGGAGAATACTAATTTTACAATCACATGTAAAGGGAATATGGAGGGAGGGGATAAAGAAGCCTGCCCTGGGTAAGGGATGGTGAGATTTTTAAGAAGTGATTTTAAAGGGAGATTAGAAAGATAGTATTAAAAGAAAAAGCTGATTAAAACAGCCAAAAACATGGGCATATCTTAGTCAATGTGAAAAAAGAACAGCATCTATCTTTTATGCAAAGTGACCTGGAGTAAGGGAAGGGAGGCAGGGAAGAAAAAAAGGTGGCTAGAAAAGGAGATTAGACTGAGGGATTAGAGAATTATCTTTGTGATTAGATGGCTCTGGAGAGGCCAGTTTCAACTTGGAACTGAAGGATGGCCTACGGCTTAGATGAAAAGGACTATGGCACCCACAGAATAGGAGCTAAAAAGTTAGGCTAAGGGGAAATAACAAGAAATTATACATGTATGTAAAGTTAAGAGAAGAATCAGTGAACAAGTTATATAAATTATCTGTGTTTAAAAACAAGAATTCCTAAATTCTGTATGCTACAGTATTAGTTTTTGTTGCTAAACTGATCAAGTGAACATAAAACATTTTTAAGAATTTTTTAAAATTTAACTTTCTTTCTTTCCCTTTTTTTTCCTTTTCTTTTCTTTTTTGTTTCTTTTCTTTCCTTCCTTCCTTCCTTTCTTTCCTTCTTTAAATTCGACCAGAAAGGGACAGAGTGAGAGTGAGAGAGAGAGACAGAGACAGAGATAGAAAGTGAGAAAGCAAGACACCAGGTCCAGGGCTCAAACCACAGTTGGCCATGGGGGAGTCCAGCGCCCTAACCACCATGCCACCTGCTGGCCCTGTGAACATGACTATTGATGATCTGCTACAGAGGTCTGGGATATATATATATATATATATATGAAGAATTTTTTTCAGTACCAGTAGATGGCATAATGGTTATATCACTGGGCTCCCACTAGTCCACCGTGGTTCAAGTCCCAGACCCAATGGCTTAAAATTCACACCAGGTGCGTGTGTGTGCATGCCCAAAATCCCAATAGGAGAATGGAAGAGAAGGGACTTCAGCATGACTATCCCCCCCTAGGGAGTGATTTCTTGCTTTCTGTCTGTCTCTCCAGCAAGCACATGCACCCTATAGCAAAAATCTCTCTCTTAAAAAAAAAAAAGAATTTTTTTCCCCTGAAATGATGCAGTTTGCTTGTCTACCATATAAGTTACACATAAACAGCTCTAGATCTCACAAATGTTCCAATGAGTTGCTTCATTCAAAGAAATAAAACTAACATATCTAGGTTACCATTAAACACTCACATTTTCTTTATTTGTGGATGAGCTACACATTGCATCTTTCCTTCTGTGGCCATACTTCAAAGCATTTGGAGTGCTACAAAGAAGCTGTGCCTAAAAGAGATTGCTTGTTGAAAATACCCTGCATCCTGGAGAATCCCTCTGCCTCCCACCTAAGAGACAAAGTCAAACCCAAAATACAGGTGCTACTCACAGGGCTACATTTCATAAGTTGCTGGTGATGATTCCTGTAGATTAAAACAAACTGCCAGTCAAATAAGCCTTAAATACTGTTTGGTTGTTCTTTAGTGGCTTAGAGCACCTAAACAGTCCCTTTCTTCCATTCTAGGAGCCATATTCCTAGTTGAAATGTCTCTTCAAATAACAACACAAAGGCTATTCTCTCTAGTAAATATTGAGACTCAAGTGACATTCTGGGGATAAGGAAAGCCCTCACTTACATCAAGACCAGTACCAAAGATAAATGAGTTTGTCCAATATCTTTTGTAGACATAATTTATAATTTTCTAATTTTCCAGCATTGACTATGAATTTCTATCTTGCCTCTCAGGATTTCATTCAGTCTATATAGGTTAAGACTTTTAAAGCAATTCAAAGAAATATAAGTGAAATGTACACATGTATTGATAAAATAGTTATGGAAAATCATCGCTAAAGAAGCACCTAATTCACAAAGGTTAAAGAAGTCAAAGAGATGGGGCTGACAGATGGTGTGGTGGTTAAGGGCACTGGACTCCCACATGGCTGAACACCGTTCGAGTACCGGACCTGGTGGCTTGCTTTCTTACTTTCCCTCTCTCTCTCACTCTGTCCCTCTCGGGTCAAATTAAAATAAATATAAATAGGGACCAGCTATTGGAGTAATGGCTATGTCACTGGACTCTCATGTAATAGACCACAGTTCGAGTCCTAGATCCAGTGGCTCAAACTCACGCCAGGCGTGTGTGTGTGCATGTGTGCTCAAGATCCCAAGAAGAGAATGGAGAAGGGATTGTGGCATGGCCATCCCCCCAGGGGAGGTGATTTCTCACTTTCTGTCTCTCCATCTCTCTGTCTTTCTGGCGAGCACACACACACCCTATGGCAAAACCTCTCCAAAAATAAATAAGTAAATAAATAAATAAATAGTTAAATAAAATATTATTTAAAAAAACATAAAATAATATTAACAAAGCAAAAAACATGTATTGGATACCTATTTTCATTTAATTATTTTTTTAAAATATTACATTTTATGTTTATTTATTTAGTGTTATTATTATTTTAATTTGACCAGAAGAGACAGAGAGAGAGAGGGGTGGGAGAGTGAGAAAGCAAGCCACCAGGTCCAGGACTCGAACCATGGTCAGCCATGTGGGTATCCAGCGCCTTTAACCACCACACCACCTGCCAACCCCACCTATTTTCATTTATTTCTCACAATGAAAGTGATATTATTGGGGCCAGCAGGTGGTGTGCTGGTTGAGGTGCTGGACTCCACATGGCTGACCACAGCTGGAATACTGGACCAGGTGGTTTGCTTTCTCACTTTCTCTTTTTCTCTCTCTCCTTCTGGTAACTGCACATGCCCTATGGCAAATTTAAAAATGACAATTATAATAAATAAAACTCAGGGACCAACAGGTGGTGTGGTGGTTGGCGTGCTGGACACTCCCACACGTCTGGCCACAGTTTCAGTCCTGGACCTGGTGGCTTGCTTTCTCACTCTCCCTCTCTCTCTAGTCAAATTAAAATAAATAAATGAATAAAATTAAATAAATAATTATTTTAAAATAAGTAAATAAATAAACAAAACTTGTAAAAAGAAAAAAGTACTATTATTATTATCTCCAAGTTATGAATAAAGAAAACAAGATCCAGGACCAGCAGTTAGTGTAATGGCTATGTCGCTGGACTCCTATGTAGTCAACTGCAGTTTGAGTCACGGACCTGGTGGTTTAAACTCATGCCGGGCGCATGTGTGTACGTGCCCAAGACCCTGAGAGAATAGAGAAGGAATTATGGCATGGCTGTCCCCCTTGCGGGGGGCTGATTTCTCACTTTCTGTCTCTCTGTCTTTCTGGCACACGCAAACACCCTATAGCAAAAATCTCTTTAAAAAAAAAAAAAAGAAAGAAAACAAGATCCAAGTTAAAAAACTTGACAGTCACCTAGTGAAGCAGCAAGCTACTGGAATCCAGACACTAATTCCAGAGCCTGTGCCCTGTACTTTCAATCACTAAAACATAGCACGTCTCATATGCACACAAAAGCTAATATGCAAGGTAGCATTTCATTTTACTTCATTTCTTTTTTTTAAAAAGAATTATTTAACTTTATTTATTTACTTACTTTAATTTGACCAGAGAGAGACAAACTAAGAGCAAGAGTGAGAGTGAGAGAGAGAGAGAGAGGGAAATTGAGAAAGCAAGCCGCCAAGTTTGGGACTAGAACAGCTGTCAATCAAATGAGTCCAGCGCCCTTAACCACCATGCCACCTGTTGGCCCCAACCTATTTTTTTTTTTTTTTTTTGAGAGGTGCCACCAGGTCTGGGACTTGAACTGTGGTCGGCCATGTGGGAGTCCAGCATCCTTAACCACCCCACCAACTGCTGGCCCCCATTATACTTAATTTCTAAAGATACTTCTGGGGGCCAGCAGGCGGTGTAGGGTCTAAGGCACTGCATTTCCTCCAACTGGCTGTTTGGCTCAAGTCCCGACCTGGGGGCTTGAGAATCACACCAGATGTGTGTGCCTATTTGCTCAGGATCCCCAGAGGAGAATGAAGAAGGGACTGCAGCGTGGCTATCCTATGGGTGGGAGGATTCTCACCCCCCCATCCCCCCCATATACTCCTGTCTCTGGCAAGCACACGTGCCCTGTAGCCAAAACTTAAAAAAAAAAAAAAAAAAAGGTCATCTCTACTGGGGAGTTATTTCTCACTTTCTCTCCTTTCTGTCTCTCTCCAGCAAGAGTACATGCCTTGCAGCAAAAATCTAAGTAAATAAATAATAATCTTCATTCTCTCAAAACTATTTAGGTCTGAGACAATTGAAAGCTGTTCAAGGTGGGTATCTAAGCCTCAAAGTCTAGTGAAACATTTTGTACCATACAGAATCTGCACAGATAAATCCCTGTAACCAGTGCTGAAAGGATTCAACATGGGGTTCATTCAGCAATTGAACTTACATCCCACCTAACAGTATTTCCTGAGATCCTGAAGAATTCAAGTGACCTGCAATCATATATAATCAGTAAGAAGAGTTACTCTTGTGTAGTCGTCCTGTTTTTTATTCAGAAAGCAATACTCATTTCAAAGACTGCTTTTTTTTAACATAAAGTCTCTTGATTGATACCTATTTCATGTTATAAAGTACACTTCCACAGAAACAAGAATTTATATGTTTCACTGAAAGGAAAAAAGCTAGAAAACCGTCACTGTGCTAACCTATGGAGATTTTTTACATGAGTAGAAAAGAAAGATTACTACTCAGGAAATTTGAAATTAGAATAAATACTAGAATGATTGACTAATGAAACATTCCTTCTGGGCACAGACCTTTAAAACATGTAAGAATTAGGGCCGGCTCACAGCCTAGTACTTAAGGGAGCCAGATCCCATATGGCTGATCATTGTTCAAATTCTGGTCCCAGCAACTTGAAAAACATACCAGGTGTAGGGGTGTGCATGTCCTGAACCCCAGAAGGATGTAGAAATGGAGAAGGGACTATAACATGACCACATCCCAATAAGGAGTGCTTTCTCCCTCCCTCTCTTTCTTTTTGTATCTCTCTTTGTCAAGCACCATGCAAAATTTAGCAATTAAAAAAAAAATACATACACACACATAATTTGACAGAGTATTTATACTGGTTTCTTTCTTTCTTTTTTTTAAGAAGTACTTATTTATTTAATTTTATTTGTCGTTATTATTACTTTTTTTAAATTTGACCAGAGAGAGACAGAGAGGGAAAGTGAGAAAGCAAGCCGCTAGGACCAGGATTCGAATTATGATCCACCATGAGGGATTCCAGCACCTTAATCACCATGCTACCTGCCACCCCTCTATACTGGTTTCTTTGCCTCCTGCTGAGGTTCAAGTAGGGCACTAAACTTCTTATACTTTTACTATAATTTCATTCCAGTGAAAACAAAATCAAAGAAATATATTCCCTCTTGTCTAACTTATTCAAATGCAAAGTGACTTCTATTAGTTATATTCTTTCTCTTCCTATTGGCTTCATCATTCTCAAGAATCCGCTAGTTACCCACAAATTCCAACTCACTAGGTAGGCTTTCTACCTACTTTAAACCACTATCCAGCTCTATGTATTCCCTTTAAAGTTATTCTTCCCTTGGAGGCCTTTACCTCTCCTGTTCCTACCAGTTTCTTCAAGGTCTGTAGAAGTGGTAAGCTGAGTGGCAGACATCTCCCCATCGCTAATATTTGAAAGATCAAGGCAACGTTTTGGGGTTCCTCTGTTGAGACATAATGATACATCAAGTTTCCCATTAGATTTTTACATCCTTAAACAGCAAAGATTGGGGGCCAGCAGGTGGCGTAGTGGTTAAGGCACTGGATTCCCACATGGCTGATTGCAGTTCAAGTCCTAGACACACCAGCTTGAAAACCATACTGGGCACATGTGTGTGCATGCCCAAAATCCCAGGAGGAGAATGGTGGAATAGAGACTCCATCATGGCCATCTCCCCTGGGAGGTTATTTCCCTCTCCCTCTCACTTTCCCTCTCACTGTTTCTTTCCTGTGAGCACATACACCCTATGGCAAAAACCTTAACAAAAAAAGGAAGGCAAATATCAGGGCCAGCAGGTAGTGTGGAATTTAAGGCACTATATTCCACACAGCCAGCTGTGTGGTTCAAGTCCCAGACCTGGTTGTTTGAAAATCACACCAGGTGTGTGCACCTGGGTGCCCAATGTCCTGAGAGGAGACTGGAAGAAAAGGATTGCTGCATGGCAACCCCCGTCTCCCCGGGTGGGTGGGGGGTGTAATTTCCTCCTTTCCCTCTTACTGTCTTTGTCTGGCTTCCCTACCAGCCCCAACCTCCCAGCGCTCATGCCCTAAGGCAAAAAACTTCTTTAAAAAATTAATTAATTAAAAAAATATATATGTGTGTATATATTGCTTCTTGTCTAACTTTTTCAAATGCAAAGTGACTCCTATTAGTGTTATATTCTTTCTAAGAGATTATTACCATTTCCATGTCACAGAAAATAAGCCTTAGGATTGGTCAACCACAGAGCTGAGACTCAAATCGTGATTTCTGAGTTAAGGTGATTTTTTTTTTTTTTTGAGGTTTTTGCTATAGGGCGCATGCGCTCGCCAGACACAGAGACAGAAAGCGAGAAATCACCCGCAAGGGGGAATGGCCACGCCGCAATCCTCCATTCTCTTGGGATCTGGGGCACACACGCACACGCGCCAGGCGTGAGTTTTAAGCCACCGGGTCCGGGCCAAGAACCGCGGTCGGCTGCATGGGAGTCCAGTGACATAGCCATTACACTAACTGCAGGTCCCAGCTAAGGTGATTTTTTTTTTTAAAAAAAAAGGCAATAAAACAAACAAAAAAAAATCCCACAAGAGTTTGGAAAAGCAAAGGAGATATGGGGTATGTAAAAATAAACGTGGACTTACCCAGATAACATGCTTAGGTTTGCAGAATCACCAAAGAGTTTGTTTACTGGAGTTCTAGCAAGATCTGGATAATTGGTAAAGGAAGAGTCTCTCTCCAGGAGAAAGTTTAATATCTTCCTCTGACTGGACCTAAAACGGGGTCCTGCGCCCTCATTTCCCTCCTCTCTTGTGGATGAGAAGAGCTTCGTAGTCATCGTCTCCAAGTTCTCACCAAGAGAAAACAAAACTGAGCTAAGAGAAAGAGAACCTCATCTATACCAGTACATCAAATTGTTCAGCGTTTCCAATCTCCACCCTTTCCACCCAGCGGACCAATATTGGACTAGGAGCATCCCCAAAGGGTAAACCACGACCCGCCTTGAAGGTTAAATGGCCCCTTGACCAAGCTGCGTGGCCTTTTCGTAGGAACTTGAATTAATCGACAAGCGGCAACCTCAGGACTTTAAATACAGAATGAAGAGAGGACTTTGACTTGTTCGAGGCCACACAGCTGGAGACTCCTGACCGGAAGGAACTCACATCTACCTCGCGACAGTGTCGATTCGGTTCTCCGAACTTCCGTTTGCGGGACCCGGACCTGGAACCGAGGGGAATAATGCACTCTCAGCGATTTCTTGGCGGAGACGGTTGAAGGTTCATGTCAAATTTGGAGTCTGAAATTTGCCTTTGGGAGAAGATAGGGTTCGGAGACAAGCGAAGACTCGAACGAAACGGAAGAAAATCTGAGGAAAGAAGGCAGAAAGCCAGACTACAATTCTGTTTCCTGACCCGGTAGGCCAAGGTTAGGAGTTGCCGCTGCTCTCCACAAGAAGTCGACCAGACAGCCTCTACCTCACCAGCCACAGGCCTTAACTATTCAAAACTTCCGCCCTCCCAATAGCCTATCCTCTCTCGCCTCTAAGCTGTGTCAGCCAATATCCGCGCGCCCGACCAGACTGCCACGGCCAATCGTTTGGCTCGTACATCACCCGAGGGAGTGGGCATGCTCTGAAAGGACCAAGCTAAGCCTTGCCCTGGAGCTGGTGCTGGGCGGCGATTGGCCCACCAGCGTCAGTCCCCGGCTTGGGTAAGCTCCGCCCCACAGGGAGCCTGGCGCACCATTGGTTCTCCCTCTAGCCAATCGACACACCCTTCCTCCGCTGTTTCCCTTCTCCGAGCGCCACCGACCCCGGGAGATTTAAATTGCGATTTGCCAAGGATGACCATTTGCTAGGGTAATACTAGGAGAGGTTATTTGGGGTGGAAGTGTTTTTTTAAGTATTTCTTTTTTCTTGCTTCTTTCTCGTGTCGTTACATGGACCTTTCACTCTTGGTTTGCTATCCATTAGCTATGAATGGAGCGTTTGCCGCCGATGGGGCCTGTGTCTATCTGAGACAGGTATGTGGTTATACCAAGCGGCACTGGTCCCTTCCGAGAGCTTTCCTTGTTCCAGTGATTCTGTTTTAGTAAGCAGTATCTCAGAGCCGTCAGGTTATGTTGGTAAAAAGAAATCCCTTTTCAGGGAAAGTAGGGAAATTGGATCATCTCTTGTAGTAATCCTTATAGTCCAAAGGATCTAAAACTTCTGTTTATGGAAACATTGAATAGAGATTCATTGTTTTTTTACTAGAAGGTGGGGCTTGCTAGAGAGAGAAACCAAGACACTATCACCATGGGAGGTGGCCACACCACAATCCCTTCTCCATTTCTCCTTTCAGGATTTTGGGTGTATACACACACACACACACACAACACACACACACAGAGCGTGTTTTTCCCAGCACAGCGTCTGGGACTCAAACCGTGAACTTCACAATCAGCTATGTGGGCTCCAGCCACCTTAGTCACCATTCTACTGACTGGTCCTAGAAAATCTTTTTAAAAATTTTTAAAGGTTTTTGCCATAGGGCACAGGTGCTTGACAGAGAGAGGGAATGTGATAAATAACCCCCAGGAGGCATGGCCACACCCCACAATCCCTTATCCATTCTCCTGGGATTTGAGGCACACATGCACAATGTGATTTTTTTTTTTAAGAATTTTTTATCCAGTTTTATTGTCATTATTTTATTTTATGTTTTTGAAGTTGACCAGAGAGAGACAGAGAAAGAGAGAAGGAAAGTGAGAAAGTAAGCCACCAGGCCCAGGACTTGAACCCTGGTCAGCCATGTGGGAGTCCAGCCACCTTAACCACCATGCCACCTGCTGGCCCCAACCTGGTGTGATTTTCAAGTCGTAGGGTCTGGGACTTGAATTGCAGTCAACCATATGGGAGTCTAGCACCTTAACAACCCCCGACCTGCTGGCCTCACCCTAGAAATTCCCTTTTTTTTTTTTTTTCAAGAATTATTTGGGGCCAACAGGTGGCATGGTGTTTAAGGGCCCTCTTCTCCCACATTGTGGACCATGGTTCAAGTCCTGGACCTGGCAGCTTGCTTTCTCACTTTCCCTTTCTATCTTGTTCTTTCCCTCTCTGGTCAAATTAAAATAAGTTAAATAAAATGATTATTGGAACCAGCAGGTGGCAGGGGTGGTTAAGCTGCTGGACACTCCCACATGGCCAACCACGGTTCAAGTCCCAGACCTGGTGGCTTGCTTTCTCACTTTCCCTTTCTCTCTCTCTCTCTCTCTCTCTCTCTCTGTGTGTCTTTCTCTGGTCAAATTTAGAAATAAATGAATGAATAAATAAATAAATAATTATGGGGGGGAATGTTTTAAAAAAATAATTTTAAACAAATAATTATTTAATTTTATTGTTATTATTTTAAAATGTTCTATAGGGCACACGTACTCACCAGTGAGAGAGAGAAAATGAGAAAGCAAGCCACGGGGTCCAGGACTAGACCTACAGTCAGCCATGTGAGAGCCTAGTGCCTCAACCACCATACTGCTTACTGGCCCCTAGATTTTTTTTTAAATTATTGTATTTATTCATTTATTTTAATTTGGGAGGAGGAGGGAGAGAAAGTGAGAAAGCAAGCCTCCAGACCCAGGACACGACTGTTGCCAGCTATACAGGAGTTCAACACCCTTAACCACCATGCCACCTACCAGTCCCAGAATTTTTTTTTTTTTTAAATGAAGGCAATTTATTAACAGAAAACAGTAACTTGAGGAGTCCTGTTCACAGACGGCAACCACAGCAACCTTCCTTCCTTCAGGTGCTGTTGGAGGGGATGAAAGTGACATTCTAAATCCGCTCAGTCTTCATACCTGAGTAGGCAAAGGGCTCTGAGGGCTGACTGGGCCCTAGGGCCAAGGGTCTTGGTCCAGTTTCTCCCATGGCCCAGAGCTTGATGTGTAGGGCAGTGATGCCCAGCTTCTTGCACCTTTGGGCCACATCCTGGGCAGCCAGCATGGCAGTGTATGGTGAGGATTCATCTCAGTTGGCCTTCACTTTCATCCCACCAGTCACATGGCAGCTGGTTTCCTTGCCAGAAAGATCAGTGATATGGATGAAGGTATCACTGAAAGATGCAAAGATACCAAACACCATTGGTTTGGCAGACACCAAACACATTCTCCCCTTCAGCCACCTGAGGTCCAAGGCTGATGACCTGTTCTTCCTTTTTTTTCCTTCCCCTTGTGAGGTGTCATATCTGCACATTGGTTCCAGACTTGGCCACTGGAAACAGCCCCAGGAATTTTTAATGCTGGGATTAGCTCTTAAATAATCTTGTGGTGGTTATAGTGTGTACATATGAGAAGAATGGCAATAAGTGTCATGTAATGAGGGGTGGTATGCATTATACCAGTGCTTCTCAAATCTTAATGTGTATACTAAATACCTGGGGGATCTTGTAAAATGCAGATTCTAATTTAGTAGATCTGTGTTCCAGCCCAAGACTGTACTTCTAACAACTTCCTAACTGATGATGCAGCTAGTCCTGGACCATGCTTTGATTAGCAAATATAGTCTTTAATTCAGTGTGTGTTTGAACCTTTCCATTAAAAAAACAAACAAACAAACAAAAACTTAAAATAACTTCAGAAGTTCTTAAAAATACGGGCCCCAAAATGGTTCAATAGATTTAGAGGGGGGCCCAGGAATTATCAAGTTCCCCAGGTGTTACTTAAGGAGATGTGGCTTGCAGACTACACTTTAACAAACAAGTCAAAAATGCAACTTTTCTCTTTGAGAAACAGTCAAAAATTCAACCTTTATCTGATGTCAAGATCACGATGGTTATAGTGGCTGAGAAATACAGTGCAATTAGCTGGTTTTCATTCTAACGCCCTTTTCATCTGTAAAACCTGCTTCCCCAGAAAGAAGGTATGTAAAGAGTCTCTGTCCTCTGGGATGAGATGGTGAGTGTGGGAGTCAGCACAGAGCCTTACCATGCCAGGTAAATTTGAAAATCAGGCTGAGAATTAAGAAATTGTAAGATAATTAAAATGAATGAATAAATAAAATAATTATTTAAAGAGAAAAAAGGGACCAGCAAGTGGCGCAGTGGTTACGGCACTGGATACTCCCACATGGCTGACCATGGTTCATGTCCTGGACCTGGTGGCTTGCTTTCTCTCTCTCTCTCTCTCTCTCTCTCTGAGTCTCTCTCTGGTCAACTTAAAATAAATGAATGAATAAATAAAATAATTATTTTTTAAAAAAGAAAGAAAAGAAATTGTAAGATAAGTTGTTTTTTGTTTTAATGACTGTCATCAAACTTTGTGGGGATACTCTGTAATTTCCTGCAGGTGGGAAGTAGTTGTCCTGCACCAGTAGCAAAAGCAGATAGATTATGGCAAGCACACACCTGGTTACCAGTGCTTTCTGTAGCATGTCCCCAAGCGAGTGCAACTCTGGGTGTTCACAGCATGTCAATCAAGTGGCTTTGGTTTAACGTCATGTGATGAAAAGATAATAGAATCTGAGTGCTCTGACAAAGTACTAAAACTAGTTCGCCTGCAATATAGGCCCCAAAACAAGTTTCTGAGGTTTTTCTCAAATGGAACAAGTCATACTTAGCCCATAAGACTTTTTTTTAAAGAGTTATTTATTTTATTTATTATTGTATTTTAATTTGATCAGAAATAGACTTAGAGAGAGAGGGAAAGTGACAAGGTAAGCCACCAGGTCCAGGACTTGAACCACAGTTGGCCATGTGAGAGTCCAGCATCTTAACCACCATGCCACCTGCCAGCCTGTCCATAAGGCGTTTTAAAGCTCTGTTTTTGGGGACCAGCAGCTGGCGTAATGGCTATGTCGCAGACTCCCATGTAGTCGACTGCAGTTTGAGTCTCAGACCCAGTGGCTAAAACTCATGCCAGCGCATGTGTGTGCCCAAGACCCTGAGAGGAGAATGGAGAAGGGACTGTGGTGTGGCGGCCATCCACCCTGGGGGGGTGACTTCTCGTTTTCTGTCTTGAGCGCAGGCGCCCTATAGCAAAAACCTCTCAAAAAAAAAAAAAAAAGAAAAAGAAAAACTCTGTTTTCTAATGAGCTTATTTCCTACCAATCATTTTTACCATCCTCTTGTCTCCAGCTGACTAACTGCAACATCCTTGATTAATAATACGTAAGTTGGGACCAGCAGTTAGCGTAATGGCTATGTCACTGGACTCCCACGTAGTCAACCGCGGTTCAAGTCCTGGACCCGGTGGCTTAAACTCACGCCAGGCGCATGTGCGTGCGTGCCCAAGATCCTGAGAGGAGAATGGAGGAGAAGGGATTGCGGCGTGGCCATCCCCCCTGGGGGGTGATTTCTCGCTTTCTGTCTCTCTGTCTCTCTCTGTCTGCCTGGTGAGCGCACGCGCCCTATAGCAAAAACCTCTCCAAAAAAAACCAAAAAAAAGTAAGTTAACATATATAAATACAAACTAAACATGGGAGGGACCAGCAGTTGGCGTAATGGCTATGTCGCTGGACTCCCATGTAGTCGACCACGGTTCGAGTCCCGGACCCGGTGGCTTAAACTCACACCAGGCGTGTGTGTGTGTGTGTGTGTGCCCAAGATCCCGAGAGGAGAATGGAGGAGAAGGGATTGCGGCGTGGCCATGCCCCCTGGGGGGTGATTTCCTGCTTTCTGTCTCTCTGTCTGTCTCTGTCTGTCTGGCGAGCGCACGCGCCCTATAGCAAAAAAACACAAAAAAAACAAAAAAACTCTCAAACTAAACATGGGAGAAGGTATAATGTAGTTTTTTGTTTTTCGGGTTTTTTTCCCCCAGGGCATGGGCACTCATCAGAGAGACAGAATGTGAGAGATCATCCCCTAGTGGGGATTACCACACCACAATCCCTTCTCCTCTTGGGGTTTTGGCATACACACCTGAAGTGAATTTCAAGCCACTAGGTCCAGGACTCGAACCACGGTTGGCTACATGGGAGTCCAGAGCCTTAACTACTACACCACCTAACAGCCTCAGTAGAACGTCTTTTACAAGAAAGTCAATACTGTCTCATATTGACTCAGGGAGATGTAATATATCTAATATACCCTTCCCAGAAGACAGAATATTAATTAGAGAGGTGGAAATTTGTGTGTTTAATTTGATATGGTAGTTTACTTTTTTTGTTGGATTGAGGGCAATTGATCCTACACCATTCTTGGGGAATCCTATCTAGGTTCTTGATTCACTGTGATAAGCAGTAATCACTCCCTTTTCACCTTGACCTCAATCTGAACCATATTTTGTTATTGGCAGGTCACAGAGACAGCCAGGGCTTTACCCTCAAACACCAGACAAGAACAGAAGGTGCAGGAGTCGCTCCTGGGATACCCAGATCAGGCAATGGAGAAGAGCCCTGTATTCCTGGGATTCCCCCCACCCCCAGCTAACCTCTGCCGCACAGGGGGTACTAGGGATGTGTTCACTATACCTAGTTCCTTCATAAGCGGTGGGCTGAGCTCTATCAGCCCCACTTTGCAGAGGTTTAGCATTCACTGGATAAAAAGGGAGGATCTGAATGAGTGGTGTCCCTCTGACTCTGCTGCCTTCCTAGGCAGAGAATAGAGACTTTATTAAAGTCAATGGATTTCTCACACCTTTGGATAACTTCCTAGATAACTTGTTCTAGGTCCTGGAATCCTCAGACAGTCTGGATGAAGACCAAAAGGGTCCTCCGGTGGAGTACCCTCTGTGAAACCCATTGGAGCACAGTCGGAAATAGAGTCTGGCCCTTGAAAGCATAAATTAGACATGGTTCAAAGTAGTGACCAAAGAATAAAAAAGGAGAAGGGGAAAAAAATAGAATGTGAGTTAAAAAAAAAAAGAACAAAAAATTTGAGAACTAAAAGTGATACAAGGAAATTTAATTGTGGGCAGGAATGTTGGACTTTACTGAGAGGACTTTTTTATACTTGAAAAGGGAGATAACCCTCCTTTAAAATGAAGCCTAGAATGTGACTTGCAGGATTTTAGTGTCTCAGTTTCTTTCAATGTTTTGCAAATAAGCCAATGTCAACTTAACTTCTTTTATTCAACCATTTAACTTCAGTAAGCATGGTCAATAATACAGGGAACCCCCTAGGGATGAAGAGCCAGACCTCCTGAGTCTCAGAAGGCTTTTGGTAATACCTTTGCCTACCACATGGGCTTAACTTCTTGGGTAGTTTCATCTGTCAAGTAAGATTTGGTTTCAATTGGTGACTATAAGCAAGTATTAGAATATATATTTATTTAAAGGAGGTAGCTGGAGCAAGGAGGTGGTGTGGAAGTTAAGGAGGCTGAATCCCACATGGCCAACTGTGCAGTTCGAGTCCCAGACCCAGTGGCTTGAAAATCATGCTGTGTGTGTGTGTGCGTGTGTATACACCCAAATCCTGAGAAGGGATCTTAGAGTGGCCGTCCCCTCTGGGAAGTGAGTTCTCACTCTTTCACTCTCTTTCTCGCTCTCTCCAGTGAACACGTGTCCTACAGGAAACTTAAAAAATAAAGATTGTAGCATGGTGTCTAATACATCACATGATATGTGCAATTACTGGAAACGGTGACTCCTGGTCTCTGCCCTTGCTCCTTCTCTCTAACCAATAGGAAGTGTGCAGTGAAAGTAAATCTCTCCATCCAGGTTTTCTTGATTAGTATGTCGCATTTCCTCTATTACTTTTTTCAGCTTCAGACATGGTTGCTTTCTGTCTCTTTCCTTCTCTGGCTCAGTGAAGAAGATCCTCTTATTGCTCTTTCTAGCTAGTCACAGCTATTTACCTGTCCCAGACTTGAATAGGACACAAACTATTTAGAGAAAATAGATGTCTTTCAGGGTATCTTGCTACTCAGTGTAATAGTGAAGATTACTTACATTACCCTTACTTTCCAGTCAATTAAAAAAGAAATCTAAAACTCCCTCCTTGCAAAGAGACTACAAAATTCAAGTATTTAAAAAAATCTCTCCTTTTAACGTTCTTTTTCAGGAACCTCTGAACTCTGATAACAGATGAGCTTTAAGTCGACTTAAGAGCCAGAAACCATCTACTCAACTTCTTCACATACTAACGTGCACATTAAGCCTATTTTAAATGGCAAACTTTGGCTGAGGTGAGAGGTGGTGGTAACGGTCGAGACTTAATACAAGGTGATTTCTTCTTCCCCAACAGGAAACCCAGAGCATCAACATCTTTTCCCCATCGGCCTGTTCCCTCCCTCCCTTTCTGTCTCAAGGAAAGTGGTCCAGCTGTAACCACCGTACTCCCCCCAACTCCCCCCCCCACGCAAGCAACCGAACCGCCTATGATGTCATAATCACAATCCCATTACCTCATCCTGCTGGGGGGGGAGGGTGGAACGGGAGTGAACGGTCCCGGGCCCTCCTGAGCTTTACAAAGTGTTCTACGTGAGGTTAAAATACAGAACCGACGGGGAACGGCCCCGCAGCCGTTATAAATCCCGGATTTATAAGGTTCGATGCCATCGGCAGCTAGAAGAAGGGTTCCTAGGTCTCAGAGCAGGCCCTGATCGGCGCTCGGACTACACTTCCCAGCAGCCTTCACGCCGCGGACAGGTCCTTCGCTGGGGGAAGGGGGATTCCTGCAGAGAGCCGGCCGCAGCGGGTGGGCCAGGAGGGCAGGTGAGAGGCACGGTGGCTAATTCTGTTACGTGGTCCGAGCCGAGTGGGAAGCTGCAGTTTGGTCGGTGTGGCAATGGAGGGCAGGGGCGACGGCTTTGTTTACCTTCGTCCGACATGGCCTCCCCCGCGAGTTTCAAGATATGCCTCCAACTGGGCCCGTCCACTATCTGCAGTATTTTGGAGGGGGTGATTCGTAAGTAAGGAAACCACCCCCAACCCTAAATCAAAGCGTCAGGCTGCTTCCTGACAGCGCTGTGGAAGGAAGGCTTTGAGAGAGAAACATCACTGGCCCCAGGCCTTCGCGGGAGGTTCAGGCGGACCTTGTGAAGCGGGGCGACCCCCTCACTCTCCTCAAGGGCCCGTTGGTTTGCTCCGGTGCCTTTTAAGGGCACCGTGGGGCGAACGGAGCGCACAGAGCTGCTCCGGCCGCGGCCCTGGGAGCTGGAGGAGCCGCGGTAGGTGGCGGAGGGCAGGTGGCGCTGGGGCCTCGGGGCGGGCACCTCGACCGTCCCTCCCTCCTTCCCTCCTTCCCCTCCCCCAGCCCGTCCGCCTGCGCGGCCGGGCCTCCCAGGCCGCCTCCGCGGGGAGAGCACGGGACCCGGTGGGGGAGGGGAAGCGGAGTGCTAAGTCCCAGACCCTCCCCATCCCTTGCGTCCTGAGTTCGCTTCCCGCGGCCAGATGATGGAACCCGATGGGAATAGGCGAGGGACAGCACCCCTGAGCGAGTCCTAGTGCCCCCCCCAAGGGGCCAGCGGACACCCAATGCCCCACCCCGCGGGGACAGGCAGGGCAACAGAGGGGGAGGTTGAAGATTGGAGGGGGGGGGGCCTAGCCTTTTGCTTCTTCATGGGGATGGGGGGAGGGGTGGACCCCACTTGTCACTCCTTTGCCCACCAGAACCATATGGAGGAAGAACGTCAGGTCCCCACTTACCTGTTTGTGCACCTCCCTGCCTTCCTCTTGTTTTCCTTCAGTCTCCCCCAGAGGTGTGGGCTTGGGATCTGGGGGAAGGTCCCAGGGGATTTGTGGCTCTCTTCCCCTTGGTCTGACTTGATCCTAGGGTGTTGAGGTTTCATACAACCTCAGCATCTCTGAAACGCGAGTGTCAGGGGTTACTGCCACCCCGCAGGAGATAGGTTGAGGTTCTGATCTTTGTAGCAGGGGGCTGGTGTTGGAAGGAAAGCCTGGACTGAGAGTTGGGCCTGGTGGGGTTGCTGGGAGGGCCTCGCGGCCTGCTGCTCTGGGAAGGGCTGAACCTTGTGCCAGTTGTTAAGCTGAGAAGTTTTCACTTGTTTAGTAAATGTACAGGACTGTCTGTCCATCTGCTACACAAAATGGAAGGGGAAGGAAGGCGGCAAGAGAGGGCTTCTTACACTTTTTCAATGCCTGCTTGAGAAAGAGGAGGCCCCGCGGAGCTGGTTTGCCTTCTTTTGTGTCCTGGTTTGATTCCTTATGGCTTCCGTTCTGTTCCCCCTCTCAGCCTGGCCTGTTTTAGGAAACTCAGACTGAGAGTATCGGTTGCGTGGTGGTAGTTGCATTGTTCCAATTACCGCTGTGTGTGGCCACATCCCAACAATTAAAATTCAGAAAAACACAAAATCACTCTCTTCACTTGATCCTGGAGAGGGCTGGGAGTTTTAGCTGTTTGTCCAAATGCCTCATGAAAAGCTTGAAAGAGTTTGCTTCACTCTGCTCCTCATGGCTGGTCAGCCTGAGGCCTGGGGGTCTCCAGGGTAAAGTCTGCATTTAGGTTCCTTCGCTGGTTGATCTTTGAGGGCAGTGTTAAGAAACTAAGAGCAGAAGTGACATAAGCTCTAGCATCTCCCACAAGAAGGTAGGGGAAGCAACTGACGGGGAGTGCTCAGGAAGCTGCAACTTTTATGCATGAAAATGATAGTTGAGTATAATGATGACTGATTTCTGCACCTTTCTTCCTAAGAACTCTAAGTATATCCAGATGTATTTGCTCTTACTTATGGCCTTCCTGTGAGGTGGGAATGGAGAAGAGATGTTGCCTCTTGTGTAAAACGTAGAGTGATCTGCCCCCAAGGTCACAGAAGAGCCCTCTTGGTCTTCCCTTGGTGCATAAGTGAGGGAGGATGACTTCCAGCCAGAGATAGACCCTGCTGCATTATCATTATGATATCACTTTTGGCATTCCATGGTTTTGAAGAGCAACAAACAGGAGAGATGAGAAATGGCAGTTCACAGGCCTGATTTTTATAGGCCAAATGGTATGCTTTTGTACATTTTGACATTTCATGTGATGTTGTTCCTGTAACAGATTAAGATCATTCTGCCCATTTTACGTATGGGTGAGCTGAGGCTGAGGAATGTCAGATGACTTGCCAAAACTTGCACAGCACATTGGATGTAGGTTTCTTGATTATGTGTTCTGGAACTAATGCTACATATACTTCAGTGATCTGTCAGCCTACTGGTCATTTCTGGGAATAGGCAGAACAAAATCAGGATACTAGTTTAACCTCTCCTCTTTCTTTGAGCAAGGCCCCTCAGGCAATTGTATGAGATTGAAGTATATTTTCTGATCAAATTAGTTTGCTTCTATCTGAAATTGACCATGAGAAAAAAAATCTTGATTAATTGTATCCATAGTCTTTGAGTCAGATTAGTTGAAAACTTAGTTGAATGAAGTTATGGAGTTGTTTTTAATATCTGTAAAGTTGAAATGTAATTGGAATTATATTGACGGTTTCCTTATTCTCTTCCTGTTTTATAAGAGAATATACAAAGTATCTATTGGAAAACAATAGTATATCAACCGATTGGGCTGTTTGCTCTGATCTGAAGCAGAAGGACATGCTTTATAACCACTGTTCCTGTTTGCTGTTACTATTTCTATAGTGTAGTAGGAGGGTACCTCTCTTTGTTTCTGACTGGAAGGTAAAACATTGGGCAAACCAGGATGGAAATACCTATTTGGGCATCCATCTCTCTCATTTGAGCTGTTTTTGAAGTAGTACTGGTAGAAACAGCAGAGCATGAACCAGGTGAGGAGTGGCAAATGGGTTTCAACTTTCTTGCCAACTTCAGCTTATTTTACTGGATATCTGGAGTGCCAAGTTCAGAATGTTTCTGAGGCTGTGTTTAGGGTTAGCAGAAAAAAGCTGTGATCAATTAATGATGTCTGCCAGAGGCCTGGCATAGGGGTGCTGTGGTATGTGTGCCATGCATTTTCCATCTCTAGACCAGGTACATCTCTAATATCACTTGGGACTGGTCCCTCTGTAATTGGCAGACTCAGCAGGCATGACTGGAGAGGGAAGTCCCAATGGTGCTAGAATGGTGCTGCAGTGGCAGAAGACGGCTCACGAGTGAGGTCTGGAAGAACGACAGGGAAGACATCCATCATTTGCTCCAAAGTGTGCAAGTCAAACCCTGGGGAGAATCATGATAACCCTGATCACTGAGCAGCTACAGAAGCAGACTCTGGATGAGCTGAAATGCACACGCTTCAGCATCAGTCTGGTAAAAGACCAGTCTTCCTGCTTCTCCACAACCCACTCCCCCTTTTTTCTGAGGCTGTTGCTACTACTTTACCCTGTCCTGTGCTGTACAGATCATGATACTTGTACTAGAAGATAGAAGAGCCCACTAAAGGCTCAAAATCCAGCCCAAAAGGAAGGGGGCAGGGATTTTTCCATTTATAGAGAAGGGACGCTAAAACTTGGGTGGAGAAGGGTTTGAGATGTTGGAAGATGTGGATTATTTTACTCACTAACTTTGGGAAGACAAGAGGAAAAGAACATTTAGGAGTCCTTAACATCCCTATAGCCCATGGATTGCAGGGGAGAACTGAAGAGGGTTTCCTAGAAAATCTGTTAGTGTGTCCTGAACCTGAATCATGATGGATCTCTCTCTCTCTCTTAGCCTTTGCCTGATCATGCAGACATCTCCAGCTGTAGGAACCCTTTCCAGCTTGTGTCTGGTAAGGTATTGTGTGTGTGTTTGTGTATGTGTGTACGCCCATGCCTCTGTCTGCTTGTTTCCTTCATTGGTTTCCAGTGACCAGGCTGGCTAGCCTATCACTTTCTCAGATGGGCACTTACCTGTGTTTCAGTTTTTTGTTTCATTTTTGTTTTTCTTTTTCCTTTTTAATTACCAGAGAGAACATGCACCATGCTCTTGCCAGAGACAGAGGGAGAAGGAGGGAGGGAGGGAGGGAGGGGAGGAGGGAGAGAGAGAGAGAGAATTTCCACAATGGGGCTTTTTCACACTTCAATCCCTTCTCTCTTTCTCCATCTGTTGGGATTTGGGGCACGTATGCACTCATGGCTAGTGTGTGTTTCAAGGCACTGGAGTTGGGATTTGTTCCGTGTGGTTGACATGTGGGATCCAGCTCACTTAACCACTTGACTATGGGGTGGGCTCATTTGTCTCCATTTTACTGCCATGGCATGAAAATTATCAGTTTTGTTTGCTCTTATTTTAATCTTGCAGGGACTTTTGTAATCAACTTTTTTGAATAGATAATATCTGCACTTAGTTCTAAAATTTAAAATAATAACAAAAATGTTACTGAGAAAAGTCTCCCTACCTCTTTGGTCTCCTCCCTGCCCAGTTTCTATGACCTTACCATAGCACCTCCTATTATAAGTTTCTTAACTATCCAACAGGTATTTCTTTATAGATATAGGAGCGAATATAAATGTGCATATTTATTCCTTCCTTCCTTCTTTCTTTCTTTTTTTTCTGAGAGAATTTTTGCTATAGGGCACATGCACTCACCAGAGACAGAGAGTGAAAAATTACCCCCCAAGGGGGATGACCACGCCACAATCCCTTCTCCTTCTGGGATCTTGGGCGCGCGCACACACACACACACACACACACACACACACACACACACACCCCTAGCATGAGTTTTTGTTTTTGTTCTTGTTTTTGTTTTGGGGAGGTTTTTATTATAGGGTGTGTGCACTCACCAGAAAGATAGAGAGAGACAGAGAGACCGAAAGCGGAGAAATCGCCCCATGGGGGCATGACCATCCCACAGTCCCTTCTCCATTCTCCTCTTGGGATCTAGGGCACTCATGCACATGTGCCCGGCGTGAGTTTAAGCCACCAGGTCTGGGACTCGAACTACGGTCGCCTACTTGGGAGTCCAGTGACATAGCCATTACGCCATCTGCTGGTCCCACTTGGCATGAGTTTTAAGCTGCCGGATCCAGGACTTGAACCAGGGTCAACCACGTAGGAGTCCAGTGACGTAACCATTATGTCATCTGTTGGTCCGCCCACTTGTTTTTTAATTGCCACAAGGTGTATGCACTTACTAGAGAAAGACAGACAAAGGGAGAAGGAAAAAAGCACCTCCTCAGTGGAGTGTAGTCACCCCACACCCCTTTACTTCCATTTCTCTATCCTTTAGGGATTTGGGGCATGTACACATGCCTAGCACGTTTATTTCAAGTCTCTAAGACTTAGATTTGAACTGCAGTGTACCGTTCTGATCCAGCTCCTTTAGCCACTGGACTAGGCCTATTTCCACTTTATAATACAAAAGGTTGTGTACTATTAGGTCGTTGGAAAAGTCAAGACATGTTTCTCTGTGCAAATATGTGTCATAACTTTTCCAGTGACCTAATACGTTTTTTCTGTACCTTCCACTCCCCCCTTAATTTGCCAGAGGACTTGTGCACTTGCCAGAGGGAGATAGACAGAGAGAGGGAGAGCATGGTCGTGCCACAGTCTTTTCTCCATTTCTCCCTCCTGTTCGGATTTTGGGTACATACGCACAAGTGCCCAATGTGTTTTCAAGCTGCTGGTTTAGGGACTCAAACTGTGCAGACAGGTAGGATCAAGCTGCCTAATGGCTAGGCCACAGGCTGGTTCTCTTCTGTACCTTTAAAAAGTAAAAAGGAACTAGGTCAGCCAGTGGCATGGTGGTTAAGGTGGCTGGATCTCACATGCTCAACTATGTGGTTCAAGTCCTAGACCCAGTGGCTTGAAAAATAGGCCAGGTGCATGTATGTGAGTGCCCAAAATCTTGAGAGGAGAAGAGAGGAGAAAAGATTGCAGCATGGCCATCCTAACTGGGTGATTTGTCACTTTCTTCCCCCGTCCTTTCTCTCCCTCTCCTTGTCTCTCCCTTCTTCCCTCCCTGGCAAGCACACACACCTTATAGCAAATTAATTAATGAAAAATAAACTTAACTGTAATATAGCTAGGAGATCTTTATCAGTATGCCCAAAATTCTTTGTTTTATATATTGTATAGATGTGCCATCATTTAACTACTACCTGTGTATGTACATTTAGGTTGTTTCCAATTCTTTGTCATTACACATAAAAATGTAGTGAATGGGACCAGCAGTTGGTGTAATGGCTATGTTGCTGAAATCCCACGTAGTCAACTGCGGCTCACGTCCCGGACCCAGTAGCTTAAACTCACGCTGGGTGCATGTCCGTGTGTGCCCAAGATCCCGAGCGGAGAATGGAGGAGAAGGGATTGCATTGTGGCCATCCTCCCTGGGGGTGATTTCTCACTTTCTGTCTCTCTGTCTCTGTCTGTCTGGCAAGTGCATGAGTCCTAGAGCAAAAATTCTACAAAAAAAAAAAAGCCAAAAAACTAAAAAGAAAAATATAGTGAATGGAGTCAGCGGATGGCATAGCAGTTACATGGCTGGACTTACACATGGCTGACCATAGTTCAAGTCCTGGATCCTGTGGCATAAAACTCACACCGGGCGCATGTGCGTGCATGCCCAAGGTCCCAGAAGAAGAATAGAGGAGAAGGGATTGTAGGGTGACCATCCCCCTGGAGGATGATTTCTCACTTTCCCTCTCACTGTCTCTCTCTCTCTCTTCCTGGCACATGTGCCCTGATGCACAAACCTCTTTTAAAAAAAAGTAGTGAATGACCTTATGTATATGTCATTTTCACATATGAAAATAATAAGCAAAGTAGAAATTCCTATATTAGGAATCAAAGGACCAGCAGGCGGTGTGGTGGTTAAGGCTCTGGACACGCCCATGTAGCCACCACAGTTCGAGTCCTAGACCTGGTGGCTTGCTTTCTAACTTTTTCTCTGTCTCTCTCTCTCTCTCTCTCTCTGTCTCTCTCTGGTCAAATTTAAATGAATGAATGAATAAATTAAATAATTCTTAAAAAAAAAAAGAAATCACGGGACTGACAGGTAGTGTGGTGGTTGGGGCTCTGGACTCCCACATGGCTGGCTGTGGTTCAAGTCCCGGACCTGGTGGCTTGCTTTCTCATTTTCTCTCTCTCTCTGGTCAAATTAAAATAAGTAAATACATAAAGTTAAATAAAATAATTCTTTAATGAAAAAAAAGAAAATCTAACTTTGGGGACCAGCAGGTAGTGTTTGTGGCACTATACTTCTACATGACTGACCATGGTTCGAGTCCCGGACCCAATACCTTGAAACTCACTCCAGGATTTTGTGCATCTGTGCTCAAAATTCCAAGAAAAGAAGGGATTGTGGCGTGGCCATCCCACCAGGGGATGATTTCTCAATTTCTCTCTCTCTCTCTCTGTGCCTCTGGCAAGCACATGTGCACTATATCAAATATGTCTCTTAAAAAAAAAAAAAAAAAAGAGGGGCCAGCAGGTTGTGTGGTGGTTGAGGGTAATAGACTCCCACATGGCTGGCTGCCGGTTGACCCCGGCCTAATGGTCTCACTTTCCATTTCTCTCTCTCTGTCTCTCTCTGGTCAAATTTAAAAAGAATAATAACAAATGAAATTGGGACCAGCAGATGGTATAATGGTTATGTCGCTGGACTTCTACATAGTCGACAGCAGTTTGAGTCCTGGACCCGGCAGCCTAAAACTCTGGGCACATGTGCCCAAGATCCCAAGAGGAGAATGGAGGCGAAGAGACTGTGGCATGGCCATTCCCCTGGGGGGTGATTTCTTGATTTCTGTCTCTCTGTCTCTCCAGCGAGCACACTTGCACAATAGCAAAATCTCTAAAAACTAAAACAAAATGAAATTGAATAAATAAATAATTCTTCAAAAAAAAAAAAAAAAAGAAAGAAATCTAACTTTGGTCCAGCCCTGTGGTCTAGAGGTTAAAGAATCTAAATCCTACATGGCTGACTGCAGTTCGAATTCTGGCCTTGGTGGCTTGATAAACACACCAGGCAAATGTGCTTGCTTGCCCAAGAGCCCAACAGGATGGAGAAATGGAGGAGAAAAGATCGCAGCGTGACCTCACCCCATTGGGAGGTGCTTTCTTCCTATCCCTCTTCCTCTCTGTTTGTCTCTCTGTCTTTCTCTGGCAGTGTGTGCACCCTCTGGCAATTAAAAAAAAAAAAAAAAAAGAAACCTAACCTTGGCATCAAACAGCCTGGGATTGAATGCTAGATTAGTCCCTCGATTTCTACATGATTTTGGGCACATTATTAAACTTCTCTCATCTATGAAATGATAACTACCTCACGAGGTTTGGGGAAATCCCATATAAAGTACTCAGTACATTGTGTGACATTTGTTAAGTTATTTTAATTTTTTTTTCTTTTTTTTGGAGAGGTTTTTTCGCTATAGGGCGCGTGCGCTCGCCAGACAGACAGAGAGAGACATAGAGACAGAAAGCGAAAAATCCCCCCTGGGGGGGATGGTCATGCTGCAATCCCTTCTCCTCCATTCTCCTCTTGGGATCTTGGGCACGCACGCACACGCACCCAGCGTGAGTTTTAAACCACTGGGTCCGGGAAGCGAACCGCAGTCAACTACGTGGGAGTCCAGCGACATAGCCATTATGCTAACTGCTGGTTCCCTGTTAAGTTATTTTAAAATGTTAGCTTTATTTTAAAATGTTAGCTATTTTTAATATTCTTTTTATTATAAATGCCTTCCAGAAGGTGCTTCCTGGAGGGGCCTGCCCCATTGTTCCTGTGCCGAGTTCCAGGACAGCCTCAACCTCAGCTACCACCCATCAGGCTTGAGCCTGCACCTCAGACCACCCAGTCGGGAAAGCTCCCCACAGGAGCAGCCCCTCTCCCAAGTCCTAAGCCCTGAGCCCCCAGACCCAGAGAAGCTTCCTGTGCCCCCTGCCCCTCCATCCAAGAGGCACTGCCGCTCACTCTCAGTGCCCGTGGACCTGTCTCGCTGGCAGCCAGTGTGGCGGCCCGCCCCCTCCAAGCTGTGGACTCCCATCAAGCACCGGAGCAGTGGTGGAGGGGGTGGGCCGCAGGTGCCTCACCAGAGCCCCCCGAAGCGGGTCTCCAGCCTCAGGTTCCTCCAAGCTCCCAGTGCCTCTTCGCAATGCGCTCCAGCCCACAGACCCTACAGCCCTCCTTTCTTCAGCCTGGCCCTGGCCCAAGATTCTTCTCAACCTTCTGCTGCCTCCCCTCAAAGTGGCTCCTGGGAGAGTGATGCTGAGTCCCTGTCACCTTGCCCACCCCAGCGTCGCTTCTCTCTGTCACCCAGCCTGGGTCCACAGGCAAACCGCTTCTTGCCCTCTGCCCGGAGTTCCCCGGCATCCTCCCCAGAGCTGCCCTGGCGACCTCGAGGTCTCCGCAATCTTCCCCGAAGCCGCTCACAGCCTTGTGATCTGGATGCCCGCAAAACCGGGGTCAAGCGGCGGCACGAGGAGGACCCCCGGCGTCTGCGGCCTTCTTTGGACTTTGACAAGATGAATCAGGTGGGACCAGCAAGATTAGGGGAACTTGGATGGAGTTGGAGGTGGTGGGAAGGAGGATTTCTACTCTTGAGCTATCTCATAATTCCACACCCTCCTGGCAGGGCCTGCCCTGGAGTGTTTCTTCTTTGGTTGGAGTTTGCTAAGGTGACCTACCATGCTGGTTCGGAGACTGTCATAGTTTTAGTGCCACAAGTCTCCCATCCTGTGAAACTCCTGTCCTGGGGGTATTGGACATATTATGTTACTAAACCTTCCAACAGGGTTTCTCCTGCCAGAAGTACTTTCCCTCTTCTCCGAGAGTGCACAAGCCAGAAAGTCCTATCTTCAGTGCCCCCTCTCCTTGTACTTGAGGCTGGGTTTGCCACTTGCCCATCACTACTTCAAGTGGGTCCGTGAGGGCTTAAGCTGCATCATTCATCTGTTCAAAAATTTGTTTTTACTCCCTAATGTGAGTGCAGTTGTTGTGTGTACTTGTCCACTCTCTTCCTAGTCTTTCTAGACCACTTTGTCACAGACTGCTCAGATAATTTGCTGTTATTCATACCATCATCCCACCGGTCAGCAAACATTTATCAGATACCTGCTGTGTACTTGACTCTGACTAGGCACTGGTAGTACCCAGCCACGAAACAAGCAGATGATGTTCCTCCCTGCATTGAGCTGTTAAATGAGTTTCTATTTCCACATATGATGGAAACTATGGGCTCTTTTCTCAGAGAAATGTGCATGTACACTCAATTTGCCAAATTTTATCAGAGTTTACAAACTTCACCCTAAAACCTAGGATTCCTGCTTCCAGTGTAACTGAGAGATACACTTTGAAATACATCTTAAGATGTTCTGGGAAGTTAGTCTCTTTATTTGTCTTTTTAACTTTGTTGTTTGTTTGGCAGAAACCCTACTCAGGAGGTCTCAGTCTCCAAGAAACAGCTCGAGAAGGCAGCAGCATCTCTCCACCGTGGTTCATGGCCTGTAGCCCTCCACCCCTCTCTGCTTCCTGCAGCCCCATTGGGGGTTCCTCCCAGGTGCTGAGTGAAAGTGAAGAGGAGGAGGAGGGGTCTGTGCGGTGGGGGCGGCAGGCCCTGAACAAGCGGACACTGTGCCAGCAGGACTTTGGGGATCTGGACTTGAATCTGATTGAGGAGAACTAAAAACTGAGGCTATTTCCTGGGGCCACACAGACTGACTCTCTTATGGCTACTAACAAGTGTCGAGGCCCCAAGGCTGGGGGCCCAGCCTGGGAATGGGGGTGAGTGGAGGGCTCCGACTCAGGGCAGCCGGAAATCTTCTCGCTCCAGCAAGCTCGACCATGCCGAGAGACTGGCCGGGACAAGATAAACGGAGCTGGTGGCGGGAGGGACAGCCCCAGAGCAGACCCTTCCCATGGCGGCCCTGAGTGTGAGTATCCCTGCCACCGAGAGAGCAATGGGCAGGGAAGGAAGGGGTCTGCGGACCCCAGCTCGGGGAATTTCACTAGCCCCTTTGCTTCAAAGGGCACTCGTGTCTTAGAATTTGGCCAGGGTGGGGGGTTCAGTCAGCCTCCTCAGAAAAATTGTGTGAGAGTGTGTGCGTGCATGGGAGTATACTTGAGGAACTGTGTGTTTGCGTAGCCTTAGGGAAGGAAGGCAATTGCTCCTTAACAGCAGAGCATCATGAAACCCCCAGGATCTTGAATTTTTACGGGACAGCAGGCTTGTTCAAGGAGTCAGAGGAGGGTACCAAATTTTCCTTTTTTCTAAATAGCTCTAGAACCAGGCTTATGATCCATAGTATCACTGACTCTGCAAAGGATTCCGTTTCGGGATATAGCAGGGTTTTTTACGTTCTGTGACCACAACTGAGGGTCGTTTGCTCAGCCCCATCCCCTCCCCACTAGAGAGATCTAGTGTTAGGGGCTATGGGGTAGGGGGTCACCGCATTTATTCTGAGCTGGCCTTTTTTTCTCATCAGATTGTCGAGGCTGTCTACAACCTGCCTCTCTTGCTCTCTGCATAGATGCAAACACATGTTGGCAACTGAGGCAAGGTTGAAGGGGTACATCTCTCTTTTCTTTACTGGGAGACCCCTTTCTCCTCATCCTCTGACCTTCCATGTCAGAGACAAGGTAGGAGGGCCCTGTTTTTGGTCCCCAGCATGTATTGAGGCAGACCTGCCACAGCAGAAGTGGCATTTGGTCTCTAGCAGATATGAGTGAACTTACGTCAG